GCTACAGGTAAAGAGCTGTGTCAACTGTGTAGATGGTCGGAGGTCACACCGGGAATTCGGCACCATGGGGTAAATACACGTGTTTTCACCATAGCATAGGTCATCACTCAAGCGCTCATCATTAACTTACAGTAAAATGTACAAGGTGCACTGACATACGCTGTTTTCATTTTGTATTCTGAGCCCTTTTAATACCTGGGAGGGGCTACGTGGATTTAAGCCCCTGGTCGTCCCCCTCCTGAGGTACCGTAATACCTCCCCAGCTGACATTTCCTCCCGTGCAGTCAAACTGCTCCACCTCAGCCAGAATCGGGATGCTTTTCTGGCTCATAACCTGGATGAGTGTGTCACCGGCTCTCGCTGACAGTTAAGCGACTTTAGCACAGCTTGTCAGAGCTGTATAGATCTTTGCTCGTTTGCTTTTCACCTCTTCAGACTGCACCCCTGCCCCTCCTCCCAGAACTATATTTTCCCCCGTCCCAGCAGCAGTGCCAAGTACTGCTAGAAACAAAATCCCCGTTTTCCTCGACCCCGTTTGTTCCTCTGACATCGCCTCGTCTTGTCAGCAGGGCCAGACAGCTATGGCACTTGGTGACTGTTAACATACTTATGCATTTATGCAAACGACAAGGATTTTTCTTCCCGTTGCTATAGCTATCGCTCCTACTTTAACATCTTCCCGGGCATGATGATTAGCCAAATATGAAAGCAGGAGCACTGAGAGCTGCAGATTATTTCAGCCACAAAAAAAAGCATTTCTTTCCTTTTCTTTCCCTTATAACTTTGAAGATTGATTGTTCTTTCTCGAAGGCGCAGTTGCAGATTTTACTCATAGAACCCTGCTGTGAGTGTCGCACTCAAACTCAATTTCCTGGTTTTTTAACGCTTGCTCATAAAAGACAATAAAAACAATGCTGACATTTTTTTTTCCGGGGTGGGGAGGTTGCCCACTGACACACACACATGTTGCAGAGAGGCCTAATTGGAAAGGACTGTTCTCACATCTGCTCCTCAGCCCTTAGACCCTCAGAGACATTAATAGGTGCACTGGCTGAGGGGGTCTTTCACAAGTGTGTAACAGCCAAAACAATTTGCCGATCCCAGGGTCCAGGCTCCGGGGTCTCTGATGCGTTGCTGCTTGTTCAGTACGTCCCCAGGCACCGAAAGGTGAACAAAAGAGCCCAGTGTTTTGGAGGACTGAGACGGACAGCAAGACGCGGAATTTTTGCCCTTTTTTTCGGTATTTGAAACAGAAGCTGACTTTTCTTCCTCTTTCTCCTCCCTTTTTTCACATGCGCAGTCAGCGGCAGCAGGGATCAGACCCTGCTGACTCTCTCCTTAGGACCTGTTTCATATCCTGCAAATGAAATGTCAGCCAGTTCAAAGGTGCCTTTGTAGGGGGCAGGGGCGGAACGTCTGAACTCGCAGAAATATGCGTACGCGATGGACCGTCAACCCGAAAAGGACTTATGACATGCTGCATTTTTCCAACCCACAGCCCTTGGCTTCCGTCTAGCCTTTGTTTTAACATTTTTGGGCATTACCTTTCAAGCGGACCGATAAATCGGAACAGAATTAAACTCTTCCTCTAGCCTTTAGTGCCAGGCCAGGCATAGCATGGGGTCTGATTAAATAGAGTCATCTTCAATCTTCCTGTTGCTTTGCTACTACTGCGGCCCTCTTACTTTTTTGTGTGTATATCCATGTGTGTGTGTGCGCCTGTGTGTGTGTGTGTGTGTGTGACAGCTTGGCCAGATCCTGGCACCGTTCCCAGATCCATGCATCTTAATAGTGGTGACATCATTCAGACGCCAAACCCACCCCACTCAATGCCCGTCTGTCCGCTAATAGACCTTTAAAGATCCATTTGGAAAACTAAAACACGATTTGTCTTCTGCATAATTGCTGTTAGCTATCGATTACGTTGATCCCCCCTCCCCCCCCACTTTTCATTTCTCATGTTCTATGAAATAATAGTAACGAGAAAAATCCACACGTTTTTTTTTTTTTTCGTTCTCTTTTTTTCTGTTTCCCAATTAAGTGGTGATGAAATGGTCGACGATAACCCAGGGAGACGAACAGTACTATTGCTGGATATGAGCAATGGCAAGCCCCCAGTATTTTGTTTTTTTTCCCCCTGTGTTGATGAGCCAGGCTGGAGGGATGTAGAAGACCCAATGGCGGCAGTAATCATAAGTGACTAATGTATTTAGTCCAAAGGTTTGGTTCTCCTGCTCTGTGAAACCGGCAAAGGTTACCATGTCACTTCTGTTTTAACCTAACATTAGCTTGGCTTGTTTCTCCATGCAATGTTGAAAGAAGAAGGGAGTGGGGGACAAAAAGAAAAAATTAATAAACCACCCACTGGGCACGAAATAGAAAATAGGCTGTGGAAAATGTAGCGGAGGTGCGGAGATGTGCAGCTAGGAAAGGTTCTCATGTACATTTCTGCTCATCATGAGTCACTTGTTATTTATTGTGAGTTCATTCGTCTCTGCATGAAAAAAAAAAGCACCGTAAACCTTATGGGGGTTTGGACTGGGACCTTTTTCATCAAGACTTTGAGCATTTTAAGAGTTTGTGTCTGCAGAGAGGACATTGCTCTTAGCCATCTCTAGTCCCTCTGTACCCGTGTTTCCATCGCCGCCACAATGTCCTTGGAGCACGCTGATATTTCCGTTTGCTGTGTTGCCGCGGTTCACTGTTTCGTACTCCCCGCTGCAATTCCAAGATGTTCCCTCTGCATCCTGCTTCTGAAACATGACATAGGAATTCCCAACAGTGGCTCCCTGTAGCTCCAGATGCATCGAAAGGGAAAAAAAAAGAGAGAGAAAAAAACACACACACACGCGTTTTCAGAATGATAAGCAACTTTCAAATGACTTTAGTTAACCTAAAAGTTGATATGGCAGCAGCAGTACATAAACCGTACTTTTTCTTTTTACTTTGCAAAGTCTCCAGAGGTTATCTTGTCTTTTGCCATTTTTGGCAGATGCTGATGCCAAAATAAACTGTAGCGGCTCGAAAGTCATTTTTAATGATACTTTTTGATCTCAGTGATATCACAATTTATTTACATAGGATTACACACCAGAATTCGAAAGGCATCGTTACCAGATCTCTTTTTTTTGTGTGTGATGAATGTTTTTGTCTGATTCAGTGTAGTCCAAAGTCTCCGCGGTTGTTTGAAAGTCGGTGCCTTTGGGCTACATGCGATGGTGACCACCGCGTGGATTGCTCAATACGAAAATCGAAATCATCAGCGGCGGACGGACGTGTCGATGGCACCTACCTTTGGGTAGAGAAATGGGTTTTGTAATGTGGAAACCCGGCGCTGCTATTGTGCATGACGCATCTCCCATTAGCGGGAATATGACAGAGCACGCTGAAAATGTACTTGATCTTCAAAGGGCCCATTTGTTATAATCCTGCTCCTTTCACTAAATAAAAGGCCTGGAGTGAAGGATGCTGGGAGTTGGTCGAGAGGGGGTGGAGGAGGGGGAGGGAGAAGAAAAATGAAACATAAGGTTAACAAGCGTCCTATTCTGCGGGCTCAGAGGTGGAGATTGAAGGGCCTTGTCTGTTGTGATACCTCTGCCCAAGCCGGGCCCTGTTCTCACCGTCCCTGACCATTGTGCAATGGCTGCAGAGAGAAGGGCTTTGATTCTCCTGGAGTAGGATCTAATTAGTTGACCACTTTCCTAAATGGGTACTCAGTCACGACATCTTAGTGTGAGTGGAATCTGGACAAGTTAATAAGGCAGACGGTCCTTGAATGTCTGAGCGAGGTTTGGTGTGAGGGGATGTGGGGGCTGGAAAGGGGTGTGAATAGAAGGGAGGTGGAGAGAAAGGGGGGGGGGGGATCAAGAAAAAGAAAGGCTCAGAAAACTAAGAGGTTGGAGGTGAAAATGCCCATGGAGCTGGAGCGACAATAATGAAGCAGGGCCAGTCTTGGCTAACCCTGGTGTGGAAACGCCCCTTGTGTCCGGCCTCGGTGCATTATTGAATGCCCACCATGGATTCCCTCCAGTCATTTTTCCTGCACAGAATAGACTGCCGGTGGTGCCACATTGTCCGTGGTTTGAGCTCTTGTGGGGCGAGGGGGGGAGCTGACAGCGCCGAAACAGCCCCCTGCCCCCCATCGCCTCCTTGACAGAGTCCGATTCGAAGACAAGCTTCCCAAGATAAGGGTTTTAGCCTACTGTGCCACCCAGCCACTAATTACAGGCCATGCAGAAAAGGAAAGCTAAGCCTTCGGCATTTGCAGCTTGCAGTAATTGTTCCTGGCATAACTTCCCTTGCCAAATACTTGGTGCATTCCTTCAGGGGGAGGGGAAAAAAGAAAAAAAAACTCGTTTATGTGAGGTGAAGGGAGACAGAAAAAGGGGGAGGTGATTGCCACACATGCGAGAGAAAAAAAAAAAGACGAAGTCGTGCAGCTTCTGCTCCTCGGTCTCACAGTCTTTTGCTTTCACAGCACCTTGAAAAACCTCCACGTTCCCATGGGATGCAATAACAATAACAGGAAATGTCGCTGCGAGACGGGAGAATCCCTGATAAGACGCTCGCATCATCAGCAATTGTTTTCCCAGCCCACTGCACTGTAAATGTGTGTAGGTGTAAAACTTCCACTAAATTTTAAAGAGCCTTTTTACGTCCATACATCTGTTAGACGGCCTGATCGGGTTCGGCTTGACGAAGCCTATCCGCAGCGCACAATAAGCAACTTTAGGTGATTGCATACGCACTTCATAAGAATATTCAGCTACCACTCAGTTCTACAGAATGCACCCAGTCGTGGATTAGTACCAGCAATGCATTTCGGTGCACGAGGATCTTGATCCTGGCTTGGTTTGTCGATCACTTCTGCAAAGTCTTCCTGTTTTTATTCCGGTAGTGTACATAGCCACACATGCACGACTACAAATTCACATTCTTTCTGAATGCATCTCCTAACTGTTCACTGTGTTTCTTCTTTTTTTATCTTTTTCTGACAACAGCCACTTCCAATGGGACCCTGGAAGGACTTGAGAATAGAGAAGGTGGAGTTTGCAACACCCGTTTCATGAAGATCATTATGAAAGTTGGACAGGGTAAGGCTGCAATTCCACGCACCACAAAACCAAAAAGAATGAACTTCTTGTAAGTCTAAGCTCTGCAACCTATGGTTATGCCCTAAACAGTTTATAGGAAAAAGGGAGTGGTGATCTGAAATTGTTCCCAGTTTGTTTACTTCAATATCTTGGATTCTTCAAATACAGGTGTTCATCTTACGAATGCAACAGGCTCTGCAGTGATTTCTGCGGGAGATTAAAAGGAGGATGGCAGATTCATGGTATACCATGAATAGTGCCTGTTTACAATTATTTCCAAATCACATGCTAAAGACTTCATTTAAAGACAAAATAACACAGGATATGCTGAGGGCTCTGTGTTATACTAGATGAGGGCAGGATATAAAAATGGCTCAGTGATAATGAAAGCGTTGTGCTCTAACAACCGTGACTTCGGTGTAAGGAGAGCATTTCACAAGCTATTGTTCATAAACTCAGATCGCCCCTGGCTCTGGAATTCACAGTGGATACTTCATTCAGATGTTTTCACAGTATGGAAAATAGCCTGCTGACTGAATTTCTCATAAAGTGTGGATTTCAGACATTACCTTTTTACTCTATTTATAACCTCTTGGGAGAAAAAAAAAGAAACGTATTTATTTTACTTTAATTACTGTATAATTTGAATTCAGCAATTCAGTGTGTAACTTTACTCTTCAGCGTCGCTGTGTGAACTTCTTTCCTCTAGAGGTAATGAATCGAGTATGAAACCTCGCATTCTAAATTATGACTCACAGTTTTTTTTATTTTATTTTTTTATTTTTGTTGTTGTTTGTTTGCGTTGGCCAGGGCCAGACAAGCCTTTTTAATCATGCCAGATGTTTAAACCAGGCAGCCGAAATACTCCAGGCCGTGCATGCTAATGGCCAGCGGGAAACACGGCTTTAAACGAGCACTGACACTGTTATTCGAGGACCTGTTCAATTTTTGATGATCCAGCAGTTCCATGGTTGCTTGGCTCAGATGTGAGCACACAGAGATAAGTGGGTCATAGGCGGGATAGAGTGCTGCTGGTGGCAGTATGCAGCGTACTCCCTTAGCATAAGATACTGTTGGTTAGCGTCGTTATTTTATTTTAGCTAACACCTACTAGCACATTTATCTCTTTCAGTTACAGACCTCGAGAAAGGGAAAAAAAAAAAAAAAAAAACGTAGTAGAGTGGGCTGTTGTCTCGAAGCAACAGCCCAGCAATTATTGCGAGGGAAAAGAAATAAATAAACGTTAGTCCGGGCGACCTGACGGGATGCTGGAAAAATAGACACCTCCCAGAAGACACCATCGCTCCAGGTGCCCTTGCGCTCTCCTTAAGCCCTGCCAGCATCTCAGCAAGCATAGCCCACTCCCCCTACCCCCACCCCCCCCCCCACGGGAGCCGGCCCAGGCCAAGCTCTGCTAGAGGAATCTGGATAGCTGGGAGTTTTCTTTCCTTCAGGCTCAGCTCATCACCGTCTCGCTCGTCAGGGGGACAGTCTAAAAGCAAATAAACCATAAGGACAGCCAGCCAAGCGCTGGCCTCAGACCGACCGTACAGATGGCTGGTTACGGGGAGACAATAAGACTGATAAACTTTGGACTCTGGGTCGAGTCATTAATTAGACTGGGGGTAATTATTTGTTATTCTGGGGTTACAGGGTAGACCATTAGTGAAAGGCTGGTCAAGGTTGCATTTGAAACCCAAAGAACCTAATAGACAAAGTAAGCAATGCGGTGGTGGACTATAATGTAGAAAAGAAAGTATGCAATTTGCCACAAAACAACTTCAAAAAATCTAGCACTTTGGTAAACAGACCATTCGGCTTTTGTAAAAGCAGTTTTTTTTTTCCTGTGATAAGGGGAGATTTGTGGTACAACACACACCCTTTTAACACAGTGAATAATAACAAGCAATAAAATGTTAATTGATAATTGCTTTATCGTCTTCTTTCCTTGTATCTGCACGGCCTTTCTGTGTGATCTACATTGTTTTGTGGGTTTTTGCATTAATTAAACTACCTCTTCAGACGCTCTTCTCGGCGTAAAGCAGTTCCTGTATCGATATGAAGTGAAATGTCTCTCTTGAAATGGCGATACGTCCCACAGAAAGACAGCCGTGCCAGATGGAGGCAGCAACTGTTGCAGAATAGGCCTCATTAAGTTGGAGATGTTAAATATTGTTCGTATAAAACTAACTTTTGTCACATTTAGTAAAAGAAAAAAAAACAACACAGATACAACAGATGGAATCAGTAGTAAAAACAGGTCATTTAAAACAGGCCTTTTAATGTTTCAGCCTGTCATCCGGCACGAGTGGAAAGTTAACGAATGCGCTGCATTTGCACAATATGCGACTTTGAGGACAGTGTGCCTCCACACCACAAAGGCATATTTTGAATACAGATTCAAATCGTTGCCTTTTTTCAATTTAAAATCGACCTTGATTTCCTGCAGACGTCGTCTTACACTTAGTCGCGTCACCTTTTAAACTCCCGAAGTGTCGCTCTTGTAAAATACTGCGCTGCGATAAATTAACTTTTCTCTCGTAAAATTGCAGTCAAAAAGAATATCTATTTATACAGAACAATTAAGTTGAAAGAAGAGTGCCGATAAATTGGTGCCACATTGTGCAACTTATGTGGTGAATAATATGTGAGTTCTTTGCAAACCTTTATTAAAAACAGGAACATGTGCTTGAAAAGAGTTAGCAGCTTGCTGAAGGTACCTATAGCGTGGAACACTCTCGGGCAATAAACACCCAACTTCCTTCCTCGCCATTTTGCCGTGACAATTAGCTAGCAGGGCAGGCAACAGCCACAGATGTCATAACAAAATCAGACAAGTATCGAGTCAAATTATAGCAAACATATTTATATTTTTTATTCGAATTGGTTAGGGGTGAATGTAAGAAAAGCAGTCGTCTGTTGTGCTTGGTCACCACATGAGAATAGCTTGAGGAACCGAGTCAGGTTTTGGTCATTTTTCTACACATGGTTAATTTTGAAGTCTGGGGGAAAAGCACAGCGAAAGGAAAACAAGTCCATCAACAGCATAGCACAAAATAAAAATATAAAATGGCTTGGTTTGGATTTCTGGTTTCCCTTTTGAATTTTTAAACACGCATTTCATTGCTGTGAAAGCAGTACTACATTGGTTGTATTTTTTTCCCCATAATTACACATAATTATCACAGCCTTTCTGGCACTTTAATCATAAAACAAAGAAAAAAAAAACATCTTGTGGTCCCTCTATTTGTGCATTCCTTTGGCGCAATTCTGCTGATTTCCATTGAAGCGGGGGACTTTTCCCCTTTTCCCGACAGAACATTCTGGACCCTTTGCTCCGTGGATGTGTGGTAATTGACACATCGGACTGTCGTCACCCCTGTGGGTTACCTCGGCCCTTCCAGTTACGCACGTTGGGTTATAAGCTCTTTGTTCATTATGTCCTTTCTCAAGTGTTTGGTTCATTTATTTGTTTGTTTGTGCTTTAATGACCCTTAAGTTAATTATGGTCTTAAAGGCCATTAAATAGTGAATCATGAATGGTATTATATACACAGTTCATATCAGGCCATTCGCATTACTCATTTTGCTATGCCTGGGTTTTGAATATAATTCTGTCTAAGAGTGTCACTAGGGGTAAGTGAATATTTCTGGTTTTCGGGCAGAATGCAGACTTAAAACTCTGTCAGACCTACCTCTTTAAGGGGGCATTGGTGATGCACTTTATTCATTCGTAGAGCTTCGCAGCTGAGATGCTCTCAGATTAATGCTGATCTGCCAAACCAGAACCCACCTGTCAGGTGCAAACAGACTTCATAAGCAAACCCCATCTTCCTGTGCATTCTTTCCTTCAGTGTTTTTGTGTGTCATTATTTGATTTGTCTGATTTGCATATACAACCGTGGAAAAAATTAAGAGATCACTCTATATTTTAAAACAAATCTGCATTTTTAAGTCATGGTTTAACTGTGGTTCTGCTGGCAGAAGCTACGCTAAGCACCTGGATGCTTCCAGGTTCAAAATTTCTAAGACAGCAGTACACAAGAATAAGGTGAAGCAGGAGACACTGGGAAGGACCAGAAACCAGCCAGGTAAAGGGCGGAAGCGACATTTTAAAGACGGAGATGACCGTTAACTTATCCGACAGTTTCTCATGAATCAGAGGATGACATCAAGTGACCTTCAGAAGGAATGGGAAACATTAAGTGCAGGTGTGAAGTGCACTGCTAGGGCAGTGTGTGTCAGGGTCCTAAACGCAAGACTGAGGTCCCATAAAGCAAGGAAGAAGTCCTTCATCAATGAGAAATAAGGAAGAACCAGACTGCAGTTTGCAGAAAAATATATATTATTCAAAGACATACACCCATAAATTGAGAAATGAGTGAAACATTGTGCTGTGGTCCCTTAATTTTTTCCACAGCTATGTTTATTTCGCTTAATTTGTTTTATTTTTATTTTTTTTCACAAATCACAATTCCTATCTTCTCATACATTACATTTTCTTTCAAAATTTATAGCTGGTTAAATTCAACAACCCTTTAACCTCCCAGGGCAGAACACTGGCAAGGAGAATCATTTTATGGATTATGCACATAATTATGACTTTAAGTATATAATTATGCGTAAAGTTATGGTGGGGCATAAAAGAGAAAATAAGATTTTTAGAATGTACTTTTAACATTAGAATGGACATTATCAGGCAGATCAAATTTGTTAGGTATTTGGTTATTGTAACCACAAGGCACAAGTCTGCAAGTATTTCACTTAAAAATGTTTGGGTACCAAGGTCTGACAGTAGGCTCTTTATGTCTTTTGGGGAAACATTCAGAATATGAGTTAGTCCTACCCTGGAGCCGCCTGAGTGAGAAACACACATACACACATACTTGTGTTGGCAGTACATCTACCAGCATGTCAGTCTTACATCAGTACTTAGGCATTCCAAGTCTGGACGTGCTGACGAGGGTTCAGACTGCTACAACCCTAATATTTAAGTGCAAATTTTATTGAAGCGTGAATGTCTGAATTCATGTTCAGAGTTAAAATGAATCGCGACCATTTAAACAGGCTGATAGTTACATTTCTGCAGCTTACTGCTTAGTTTTTCTGGACGCTTTAAATAGAACATAAAACGCGGTATTTGTGCATTAGCTAGCAAAACTATGATTCTTTCCACTTAAAGCTATCGCTCCAGGCATTTGGCATCTAAGAAGCCACAGAAGAGAATCAGCACGAGCCCCTGGACTGAATCTTCTACTTTCCACTGGCAGTCTTTGTTTATACATTCACAGAGAAGTTTTGAGTCACTATAGGATAAGTTAATCCAACATCAAATGTAGCTATTATGATAATGGGATGTGTCATAATTTAAAGTCAAAACATAAGGAGGAAATCACATGAATGACCACTGGAGTTCTTTTTTTCCCTTTTAAACAAATAAACAAATGAAATATGGTATATCTAAATTGTACCATGTGGTTTTCATTTATACACAATAGTCCTCTCGGTATTTTTTTCTTCCTCTATATAGGTACTGGTCTTTGCCGTGTTAATAATCCCAAGGTACCCTACATTTCTTACCAAACTGACATTAGTTTGGCAGAAAAGCGTCTCAAATAAAGATTATACTGTATTCTCTTAAATGTCATGCTTGGAATTAAGAGGACGGGAAAATATGCGCTCAGCACATTATTCAAGAAATCCTTTCCATTTTATGACAAAACAAATTAAATACAGTAATTTTCATTGGGATCTAGTGTTCTCGGGAGAACCGGCACAGCAAAATATATCTGCACTAATGACCAGCCTGTGAAATTCAATTGCTCTTATTTGCTAACGCCTATAATCATTTCTCTTAAACCGTTATATAGCGCTCTAGAGATACACCATAAAGTATATGAATGTAATAGCAATCAGGGTTTTTTTTTTCTTTTCTCGCAAGGACAAGTACTTAGAGTAATTTTCTGTAAAGGCCTCTGGCAGAGGTCCGGACAAGTGAATGTTGGACGTACAGCTGGGCACTTTGCGCTCACCTGCTGTTTGTCGCACTTTACGTGTAATAAGACTAAGCAAGAGTACTGGAAGAAGGTTGCTGTAAAACATGGTATGGGGGGGAAACAGTCTAAGTAATTAGTAGTGTGTATATCAGGGAATCCTTTGTCCCTTTCCATAGCAAGAAAGATGGAAATGAAACTCAGCAACCAAAAACTTCTGGATTTGCATGATCGTTATTTTTATACTGTTTTTTTTCTTTATCATTCTTTCAGACCCAAACACCGTGGTGTCAGACCCAGTGATAATCGACAGCCCTGGCAAGGACAAGGACAGCACGGAGTCAACCAGCAGACCTCCTGGCAAGGATAAGGTTGAGCGGAAAGGCAGTACAGGTAAGTGACTCCTGTGATGAAGCGTGCCTCAACACGGCCGCTTCCTCAGCTTCCTGTCGGCAGCTTTTCAGGCATGCTGGCATTTGTCAGCCTCACAGAAATTTTTCACAGTAAGCCGGAATCAGGGGGGGCTTTCTGTGTGCATGTTATAAAATGCAGTCGTTTGAATTAGGTTTATAGCACTGATAATGCAACATGCAAACAATGAATTATGGACTTAAAAAACTCATAAACTTAGTCCATACTCAAGTTTTCATAAAATACATGCTGTCAGTACGTTTTCCTGGGTCTTTGTGCGAATATAAAAAATCGGGAGTGTTCCTACACTTCCAGAACTGATGCCAAAAGGTTTCAAATGTGAGGCAGAAGAGGAGGCCTTTGAGGACGTACTCATGTTGTCACTCTGGAAGCTTCTTTCTCATCCCATCTGTCCATGTGACTCTTACTGTGAGCTCTGCGGTCACATCAGTGTGGTTTTGATATAGCCTCGATTTTACCACACATGTGAAACCCCTTGAAAGAGCTTGTCTACTGCTCATTTATCTTTTGCGTCTTCTGTTGAGAACAGCACGTAAATTTGTTGGTTTCGGGTGATGGTGTGTGTGGGGGGGGGGAGGTTGCAGTGCCCTGGTTTTTAATTATGCTAAGTGGTAATGCAGATAGACATGCCACTCAAGTGTGGTAATGAAAAATCAAAACCATATCCGCAGCACTGTGATAGAGCGGCGGATAAGATTATCAGCGACTATTAAAATCGGTCAACAGGGCTGACAAGAAAATAAGGGATTTTCTGGCCTCTGCAAGCTGGACATGTTAATTTGTGCTGTAGCTTTTTTGCTGGTGTTTCACTCCTAGCTCCTTTTTTCTTTTTTCTTTTTTTGTTAAGCTAAGCAGAAGAAAGTCAGACTTTATTAGGGTTCGGAAAGTAATTTCCTCTTGCAAACGTTGGCCCTTCTAGGGACAAAACAAAATCACATGTACAGGGAAAATGGCCATGACTCCCTTTTGGCATCGAGCCAAAAACCCCGTTTTTTTTTGTTTTCTCCAATCTTTTGTCAAAGTGAAAGCTTTCTCCTGTCATTTATTTTGGGTGTCCTATGTACCGATCCATCGTTTCAGCTGTAATTCGGCTCAGGACATAAAAGATAGATGGTGCCGTAAGAGGCCGCGAGGTAAGCTTTGGCTCGCTGTGCACTGCCCTCAGACCAGCGAGGAATGTAATAAAGCTCGTTGTTGATCATGCCCGTCTTTGAAATGCCACGGCTGACTGGCAGCCAAATTCTTCCAGCACCACAGTAACCCGGTCGAGTCTGCCTGACGAGGCTTGCGAGGTAAAAGGCACATCGGTCAAAACGCGAATGTGAAGATGCCGTGGGTAGCCTTACGGAAAACAAGTATGGGAAAACGCCATGGGCCGGTTTGTACACGTGCAAGGCTGCACATGTATGCGTGTGCGTGCATGCAAGTCTGAAAGGACATTCGCTGTTGTAGAAGAAATGTTTCATACCCGTCATGACTGTAGTCCAAGTAAACAGTTCGAAATTAGTCTGCGCTTCTGAGGAACTTCGTGTTTTAATTTAGCTAGCTATGTATTTCAGGACTCTCAGTGTGTCGACCGTATATCTTCGTTTACAAACGTCGGTAACCTTGACAGCAATGGAGACATGAGTCCAGCATGAGTCAAAAAAGAAGCACAGGTCATAGAGTGCTTATAACAGCAGATTTCAAGTGTAATCTAATGGCATATTCATAGAAAATCTAAAATTTGATTTGCACACAGGAGGTATTTACTGCTGCTAAATTTCCCAGCACATATCCCATAACAGATGCGGGCGTCTGAAGACACACTCTAATTTAGCTGGCTTGTTTTGACAAGCTAAAAAATATAGGGCAGGACAGAAGGCAGTTAAGCTCCATTGCTTTCGACAAGAATTCAAATTATAGTTTCATACACCAGCAAGATCAATAGCAGGTTCCTTTCCATCTATCTGCTTTTAGAAAGTTTCTACCCCCCCCGTCTTTTCCCTTTTTGTGCTGGAAAAAAACCGAATCTCTTGAATCTGTTCCTTTCAGGGATCGCTTATGAGGCCATCTTTCTGTCATCTGCAGAGGAAGTTCAGTGCCTTAATTTAAGACCGCGGAGCCTGTTTGTGCGCACTGTTGCCGAGATTGTGGTCCGTGGGACGCGGCGGAGTATAAATAGTGTAGGGTGCATGGTAGGGAAAGGGGGCTGTGCAGGAAACGTGCGAGTTATAAAAAAAGACAAGCTTGTCTCTGTTTAATGACTTGGATTTTTTTTCTGTTCCCCTGTAAAGTAGATGAAGATCAAGATTAGATTCAGTTGTGTTAATGGTTTCAATTCAAGCCAGATAACCCCTGACATTTTACAAACAAAACAAAAAAAAATACAGTGAAAGTTCTCATGCGACAGCATCATGGACTGAGGCACTGCCTGATAGTTGAATTTTCCAGATTGTTCAGTGTTATTCTTGAAAAACACTTGTAATACATTTTTTTGCAATTACTTTAATCCTTTTATAGACACAGGAATTGTTATAGTATTGTTATTTTAAAACGTTGAAATGACACTGCCATCATTCGAGTCTTTCGATATTCGAAATTGTGACGCAAATGATGGAACAAGCAGAAATACTACTAAATCATGCTGCTTTTCTTGGCTATTTCAGTTTTAATTAGTTTTGCATAAATTATTTGTAAAATAGTGTTATTACTTATCAATTGCAGTGGTATTTTATGGTTGTGCTGGTAACTTGAACTTGCTGGTTACTTGAATGCTGGATCTGAAAGCATTTAGTGAATGTTAATCTTTTTGTTGTTGCTTTGGAAGGGAAAATAAAAAATGGTTCTGCATGGGCTGACACTTCTGTGTCTGATTGTGTGTCTTTCAGTAAGTGTGTCTGCTGTAGAAGCCTTATCCTTTCCCCATGACATGAAGTAGGCCTCTTAGCTGCAATTTGCCCTGCCACTGTGGGTCTTTCATAGGCAAAGAATGGAGCATCTGAACCCAATAGCTAATGCAGCCTGAGACCCTCAACAGGGAGAACCTGATTTTATACCGTCTGCCTGTGAACAATCATTAAGGGCTTTGTCATCAAAACAATGGGAAGGAGCTTTCGATATTACCTGTTGAAGCTGTTAATTAATTTACCCTAAGCTGCTATAGCAACTGCTGGCTTATTCCAGTTTTTGCCGTTTTTTCTCCCCATTTTTGTTCTTGTCTTTATTGTTTCGTAGCACCTGCAGTTCTGGAAACAAAGAAAGTGATAAGATTTCATCGGGATTCCTCTGTTTTAAAAGCTTTTCTATGACCATTTCCCTTTGTCCCCAACACAGGTAGCATCAACCAAAACAAGACTATTACGGACGAGGGCATCTTTGGCTCTAAGGCGGCTCTCTTCGCAGCCATCGGGGCGGGCTGCGTCATCTTCCTCTTCATCATCATCTTCCTGATCATTCTGCTGATCAAGATCCGGAAGCGGGCGAGGAAGCACACACAGCAGCGAGCGGCAGCACTGACGCTCAGCACGCTGGCCAGCCCCAAGTGCTCCGGGAACGCCGGCTCTGAGCCCAGTGACATTATCATCCCGCTGCGGACTACAGAAAACAACTACTGCCCGCACTACGAGAAAGTGAGCGGGGATTACGGGCACCCAGTCTACATAGTCCAGGAGATGCCCCCCCAGAGCCCCGCTAACATTTATTACAAGGTGTGAAGATGGAGAAGAGAAGTGCAGCGGTGATATTTTGTAGGACGTTTGGATTTTAGGAAATTATGGCCTACTTTTTTTTTATTTTTTTTTATTTTTTTTACTACCTAGACCTTCTGAAGCTGGAGGACATTTAAACGATGACCAGCGAAGATAAAAACGTAAAAGAGTAATAGAAAGTCAGAAGGTCTACATAAAGACTGCTGTCAGGACATTAATACTTCTCCTGTGTGAGCCAGCAGCAGGTCGTATGGGTCTTCTCCCTGTCCGCGCCCTGTTTCCTGTTAACCTGCAGATGTATTAAGCAGTCACATGTTCCCTGGTCTTAGCCATGGTATATTTCTGGATAGCAAATAAGAGATGGGATACATGGTTTAGGCTTTTGAATCAGTAGCCTTTCTCCTTGTGTGGTAGTGAGAAGGAACAGGGTATGTCCGCTGGCTTCGTCACCAAGCTGAAGCCATTCTGAATTGCTCAGGTAACAGGGCACATTGCGACAGATAGAGCAGCACCGTTCTCTTGCACACTATGATGTTTACCTTGCATTATTCTCATCAAAGTTAACTCGCTCTTTCTTCTCATAATTCTGCTCGTCAGGTTTTTCTTTTTTTGTTCTTTGCATTTACAGTATATCATGGTAAATATTCCTGTATTTCATGTTATCATATCTCAGTAGCAGTGCATTTATTTGGCGAAGAAACATCACGTGTGAGCCGTAACTCTAGGGAGGTCATTGTTTTCTGTAAGGCAAAAAAAAAAATTCATATTTCCTTTTGTCCGTTCGATCCCGAAGCATCGCCAAGAAAGGTATTTACGAGTGCTGTCAGTCTTACCAGTGCCCGGTGGTGCCTAACTGTGTTCAGACAAGAACAGTGTGCCTGTGGCATCCCAAAGACAAATTTAACGGGCCAAACCGGCTGCAGCTCGTGCTGAAGATTTGCCAGGTGCGAGTCGGACGTGAACGATAAAAAGTTATGACTGCAGATCTTCAGAACTACTTAAGAAAAAGAATAATAAATTACGGTGCTGTGTGTCCACCCTCCCCAAGATGTGCTTGGGGGGAGCAGCACGAACGAGTTTGTTGAAGGTAGGAAGTTTTACATTTTTTTAAGATGTTATCAGAGAAAGTGGAGATCTTTCCGGTCTCAGCATGGTAAGCGCCCTCGTTTGTGACATTCTGACGAATCCACATGTTTTGAAGTCAGGTTTTAAAAAGAGAAGGAAGTTAAGAGTGTTTATTCTGAAGTTTCGTTTTGTGGTTTGTGTGCATCTTTTTTCTCTTTTCCTTCAGCACCCATAGACCTTTTTCGTTCTCTGTGGCAACATGGTGATTCATTGCAGTATGGGATACGATCAAACATGCAGCACCCTGTGAAAAGGCCCTTTGCCACGCACGTCATATGAAGAGTATTACAGTAATTGCCAGATAGGCCTTCTGTTCGGGTGTCTCCTTCTACATATAGACACACAATAACTAGAACAAAAATAGTTCTAAAGAGAAATATTATTTATTAGTACTCTGCCTCCAGGCTGTAGACGGGCTTTTTTTATCTCAATGCAGTTTTTTTTTTAGTTTTTTTTTTTACAAATACTAGTTAAAGGATAACACTATAGATCAGTTATAAAGTATACAGATTCACTGCTGTTCAGTTACTAGCATTTTGTTAATTTAAACAAGTTGTTACATCTTTCCTGCGCCTGCTCTGTGTAGCTATTTGTCGATATGTTGTTTACGCCCACCTACCGGTTAGCTTCTAGAGAGAAAGAAAGAAACAAGCTTGGTTTTCTTTGTTGCAGCTCATTTTTAGGGACAGCACGAGAATACCAAGCAGCATGACTTTGTCAGACATTCCACTCCGCTTATTTTCTGCCAGTGATAAGGTGGATCCCACTGCAGGTTACGAATGCCATTTGAACAAATCCTCCATTTTTTTCTGTGTGCGTGTGTGTGTTTGTCTTTACCAGCTCTTGCTTCAGTCAGTACACGAGTGCTAAAAGACTTGGTATAATTAAAGAGGAAGAACCAGAGCAGAAGTCAGACAGGGACACAGGCGGAATAAAAAAAATAATAATATAAATGAATAAATAAATGGATGTCAAGCAGATTTTTTGCTTGATGAAGCAACATGAATTTAGCTTCGGTTTGTAATTGGAAGGCCACAGATGATTTCAGAGCAATGAACAAATTTATATTTTGGAAAAATCACTGTCTTTACAGTTAGGTGTGACATTTTTTATTAAAATGGTTTGGTTTTGTTATAGCTTCCTGATTTTTAGCCTCTAGTTGCAGGAAAAAATGTCACTGCTGTTCTCTGATCTGGATACATTCAGTGTGTGTCATATCAGTCTCCTAAAAACTTTTTTTATACGTTGTTCACAGAATATGGCGGCCCTGACATTTGCATTAATTCATACTGTTTATTTTTAACAGAATAAACATTTTCAGCATGTAAAATCCATTTTGAAATGCCAATTTACGTATGACACTTTTTGACATTTTTGTGGTATTGTTTTAATTTTATTTTATTTGAATGGTATTCATTGTTATCACTTTACAATTTGGCAAAAATGAAATTGAAACTGTAAATATGTTAAAATAGATAAGCTTAAAAGTACGATTTATTAGGACCCCATTTAATTAAAATATAGATTTTTTAATGCAGAATTTTTGTAAATATTTGTCATTTAAGGCATTTTGTATAAACTTTTCAATTATTTTCTTGTTCACTTTTTTGTTAGTAAAAAGAACAATAATACAGAACCTCTTAGAGTTGGTGTTACGCATCATATGAATTTGTCTGAAGTGCCACATATTGCCAGGAAATAGTACTTTATAAGGTTCACTACACAGCAAATACTTTCCATATTGTTTTCAGCATCATCCACGGTATATGGGAGACAAAGCTTAGAAATGTGTGTTCCATTTTTGTTTAGTTCCCACTCGCCATTGTGACACAGTGACCACATATCACAACACGGTAGTGAACCTTCTACAGGTTAAGTGAACAACTGGTCAGAAACACATGTTGCCTTCGGAACCACAAAACATGTGTGTTCCACCTTTGAGTCTTGGCAGTAGCAGAAATTTGATTTCACACAAGTATTTCCTCCGGGTGTCAGCGGCATACGTTTGAGAATTAACTGTATCCCTTTACTGGTCCCAGAAGCTGTCCGCACCTTTTACACGCTTACGCTGTGAGCATAGAGCCTAAAACAAAGGGAGCTAATTGTGCAACTGCAGGCAGAGATCATCAGACACTCCCCCCCCCCCACAAAGCATTTGGTTTAGCCTGGTTATTACTTTATTTTTTATTTTTCTGCCGGGGAGTAATGAGTCCCCTGCATACCATTATTGCACTGCTCCATGAGCCCAAAGCTGAACAATCCATCTCTGTGGAATACCACAATATTATCACAATATTATCCATGCACTCTGTGTAATAAACACCAGCCACCGCAGGGAAGTCCCTCTGATATCAGCAGAAATAATCACCGTTCCGGCCAGTGCAGCCCAGATTGTTTACCGCGTCGCAAAACAACGATGCGAAAGGAACTTCCATCGATAGCTAAACAGTATCTAATTTTCACCTTTTTCCGCCTGCATGGAGCTGCTGGGAAGAAACATTTTTATTTTTTATTATTATTATTATTATTATTATTATTATTATTATTATTATTGTTCTTATAATTATTATTTTTATTATTTAAAATTCCCAGTTGATCTGCCATGCTGTAAGACTGGTTGCTCACTTTCCCTGGCTTCGGTAACAGTTTTCTGTTAAAGATACAGTTCTTAGTACATGTACTCAATCCCTGTGAATTGATGTTTTTCGTATAGCTCAACAGATGTCTCACTGTTCGTTTGTTTCGTTCGAATTTGCAGCTTTTACTCAAAATAACCAGTTACAATGGAATTTGAATTCCATGTGCCAAGCCAACCTGATATTGCATATTGATAAATAAATTTTTCCTATGGAAGTCAGTGTTGAGTGATCTTAATTTGTCCTTGTTTTTAATTATGGGGGGGGGTGGCTGTTGTGGACTGGAATCCTGTACATCATGTTTCCGGAAAAAATACCTTGTGCTTATTGGTATAAGCTACACTGGACAAGTGCTTCGGGGAGAGACCGACGTCCAGTAACCTTGGGTTAATGTTGAAAAGACAGACCCCTTATTAGTATATACACGTTATATAGGCAGAGAGTAATGAGTAATGGAAGCAGGTCTGCAGCAAGGAGCCGCGAGGCAACGTTTCCGGGGCAGTGGAGCAGGTGCAATCTCCATGATCAAAAGCAGACAATAGATACTGAGCACCGCCCTGCCTGAAAGGCTGAAAAACTCGTTTGGAGTAAAATGTATTTCTAAATTACACAAGCAATTAAAATGGCTAAGAAAAGATGGGGGGGGGGGTTGGTAGACTATCAGCCATCCAGTCATTTTCATCAGGTGCATGAAGAACTATACAGTCAAATATTAATGCATTTCTCATAAACTGGGGACGCTAGAATACCCCCACTGGCCTCAGACAATTAAATGGACAAAATTATTTACAGAACTCAAATAATTAGCATGGGCATAAAGCAGTTTTCTGGGATCTGAATGGCAATTGAAGGTCTTATCAATTTAATTAAATTGAAGGTTGATAGAAATGCTAATACTACTGAAGTCACAGAGGCAACAGTTTTCGGACCTGTTTCCACCAAGTTCTAGCAAAGCAAAATTACTAGCAGCCACAGCTTCACGTATGATTGCTACTGCAGTGCTCCAAAGGAACATTAAATGCTGCTGTTAGTGGCAAACCATCACACATCAACTCGGTGATTTCTCTATTTACAAAAATGAATCTGTATTAATATTGAAATACGTTAACTCGGTGTGTGAATGTTTCAATGTTAAATATCAATGAAAAAAAAACATTTAAAACAGTATTCGATATTATTGATTGCTATTTGAATGTTAACAAGTCGAACACTGATTAACAGTACAGGCATATGGCATTGGCAGAGAAAAAAAATTGCAGAACATTCCCTTCTTCCTTCCTTCCCTCCTTCCTTCATTCATTCATTCATTCATTCATTCATTGATTACCCATTCATATCAAGACAAATACCTTCTGATGACATCAGCAAATGATTTTTTTTCTCTAAAGCAAAGCCCTGGTTTTCTGTTTAAAGTACTTGTAGGATAATTTTCTTTTTATTAGTAGAACATGATCTGGTGTTGAACGAAATTAGCTTGCTGCCATTTTTAGGTGAATTTCCCCTTTAATGTTCTGCCTGAACTATTCTGTGGTTATAAGGTAATGCATAATTCAGACAGCATAGCATCTCTGACCTTATACATTTTCCCTTCAAGTCATATAGTTCGCTGAAGGACAAATTCTACATTTACAAAGAGTTTGCTGATTTTAAATGAAAGTAGGTTGATTGGACTTTGGAGTTTGATGAGTATTTCTAGAATAAATATGCCATAATTTCCATGACTCCCTTTAATTGATAAAGTATTTGAAATATTACTCATGACAGCCAGAGATTACTAAATACTCCAGGGAATATGGGGATTTGGTTTTTAGGTCATTTCATTTTTGAAAACAATGCTATTTTTCACTCTGACATAGTTTGTGATTTTTGGTTTTGAACCATAAAGAGAAGTTATTGTTATTAATTGAAAAACAAATTCAATAACTTTGTAGCTGGAGGTATCTGATTTGTCTACCCTCAGGTAGGTCATTCTGTAATATTTTGCTAATTTCTACACAAAACATACTTTGGATATTTCATGTGCAATTATTATAATCATTATTATAGCCATTATTACTATTCTTTGTAGTAATAAGAGTATTGTTATCGTTTCGGGAAGGAAATCCAAAGGCCACTCTTGTTGGAAATTCACATCCCACCGGAAATGGTCAATAAGCAATGACTCTCTCCCTTAACGTTCCAAATGGAAAGCATTAAGGACAAAGTATTCTTTTCAACTTCTAGACTGACATTTGGTCTTGTACGTCAAGCAGCTGCTGAGGAACATGTTGTGCCAGACCGATAAGGAGGTCTGAA